ATGCCAAAGCTTCCCTCTTAATCGGGCTTACGACCGGCTAGTAAGTAGTGAACTAGTTAACCAGCCGATGTGATATAACGGAAGGGAGTATCGTTATTAAAACAAAATCACTATTGGGATATCTTGTTGTTACTTGGTGGATAGTATATCAATCCACGAAAATAGGGTTTAGCGGTGTAATAGCAGTTCCTCACCTGTACCTAACTGCACACCATCTTAGTAAAAAATTTGAAAACTGTTTTGACAACAAACAACCTTCAAAGAGTTAACCTTTCTTCAGTAGTGGTGATCTCAGTCTTGATTTGATTTCAAGATGGTATTTATCATGGGCTGACATTATTTGGAGGAACATTAGAAACCTGAGAGCACTGAACAGCAACTGTTTTGTCCTAGTATGGGACTGTTCAGCAGTGCACACCCATGACCCCTCCAGGGTTGGAACCTTCAGCATGTTACCATTGCTCCACTGGGTCGGAATCTAGTCTTCCATATCACTAATTTTTGTCGGTTCATAACATATCACGGCCATCACCGAATGTCATCGTTGAGTATATGTCCTCACTTCTACCAGGTTTCCAATGTTCCTACAACTGATGTCAGTCCATGATGAGTACCAACTTGAAGTCAATAAATCTCCACAAACCCCTAAATTGGATTTGATTTTGCCCGAGACTAGTCTATACAGAAGATCAATCAAAGGGAAAAAGACAGCCAATCAGCATAAAAGCCTGAATACAATAGGGTAAATAGATCTAAGTGAGTAAGACTCGGAATAACTACAGAGAGTAATTTAGCTTGAGGTCTATATGGATTTATTTATTTTAAACTAGTATTTACCATGAACTAACATTAATTGGAGAACAACTGAAGACCTGGATAGTTGTTTCACTCTAGTATTGGGGCTGCTCAGCAGTATGAATTTACGACCCCACCAGAGATTGAACTTGAAGTCTCATGGCGAGTACTTCGTCATTCAATTCTGTGGTTCACAATTTCTTACTTCTGTCAATTCGCGATATAGCGTAGTTATCCAGAAGTTCTAATGAGAAGCCATGATATGTAATTTCAGCAGAGTTAAAATTCAAGCGGATACTAACTAATGATATTTCATGATAGTTGCAGTATATCACAAATTGATAGAGCTGTGAAAATGTGAACCATTGAACTCCGACCCAGTGGTTAACTCACTCTCCACGAGAACTGAAGGTCCTGAGTTCGATCCCTAGTAGGTTCGCACTGCCAAAGAGTCCCATACTAGAACGAAATGGCTCTTCAGTTCTCACCTGTTTCCAATGGTTCTTCAACTGAAGTCAGCCTATGAGGATACCAACCTTGAAATGCAAAGAGATTGTCAATCAAACAGGAATGAGTGCGTAGGTAATTGGATTGCCTTTAAAGATACATCCTGTTAGGTGTGTGTGTGTGTATGTGAAGATTAACGTGCATACTGAAATCTTGGCAGCCAATAGATGTAACTCATTACCTAGTGCACGAGAATGCACCCATTTATTGAGTTAGGAAATCTTCATAGAAAACTGGAAAAGTTTTTGATATCACTTGTCCTGCGATATGTTTGATTCAAACATATTACCGAAATCATAAATAACATTTTGTCAAAGCTTATAAATGTAATGCGTACCGCTTTCATATCTGTGTGTATAGATAAGGATTATATTAGGTGTTCTGGTGTGATTTTAGGAGTCCTTAACAGTGTAACTTAGTTGATGACAGCATGTAACTTGATAATAACACGTTTATAAATCGACGTTGAATAAACGAATAGTCAGCGAAGAAAATCTTTTCGAGGAATCATTTTCAATAATAATAATAATAATAATAATAATAATAATAATAATAATAATAATAATAATGACTTTATTCTGAGAGATATTTTGAGAACACTCTACTGAATTTTCAGCATATCATATAGCATTAGTTGGATAGAAAACAGAGTACATATATTTCAAGTTGTTATTCATCGTAGACTGACATCAGTTGAAGGAACAACGGAAACCTGGGAGCACTGGACAGCTGTTTCGTCCCACTAGTACGAGACTCCTCAGCAGTGCGCACCCACGACCACACCAGCAGGGATCGAACCCGCGACCTTCAGGTTCCGCGACCAGCGCGTTACCATTGAGCTAGCCACTGGGTCAGAATCCAATGCTCCATATTTCCAACTTCTGTTAGCTCACGATATATAGGTTTCCTTTGTTCCTCCAACTGATGTCAGTCTTCGATGAATAACAACTTGAAATATTTCCAAATCTCCACAACCCCCTCAAAAATTTAAGAGTACATGTATATATAGCAAAATGAACATAAGTAGAAAAGATAAGAACATTTAGTCTGTCTATAACTTTCTTGAAAATGCACAGTCAATTTAGATAGACAATCAAATTAGTAATTACGTTCATAATAGAGAAATAATAACATTCTGTGTACTCATCAATTAGTTTGCTTTCTAAAACAGAAGTTGATTAGTTAGATCATTGGTAAGACCTTCATTGCACGAAAGACAAACTAAATACGTACGGTATTGTAGAATTTTTATATTTTGTAGTACATACATAAATTCATTTGGAATTGATCCTTGTCTTTCCAGATGATCAATATGCAGAGAACTTTCAGTAAAGAGGATGTTGGTCATCTGATAAAATAACTCTTGCTAGATGTTTACATGAGTTGATATATTTGTTTACAACTTTTTCAACTAGAAGGTTTAAAGGTACACCGCTAGTTCTGCTGACAATCTTCAGACTTTTACGCAATACACGGTAGTCTTTTTTCAGTAACCCAGGAAGAAATAAAGGGGAATAATAAGGGAGAATAGGCAAGATGGAGGCGTTAATAAAACACAAGATGAAAAACTGAGTTATACCAGATATTCTCAGCTTCCCAATATATGTACAGCTATCAATAGAATAGGAATCATGAAACCTTAGCAGTTTACGTAGGTTATGTTCAAGTGTACAACTAAACTTTATGGTCTGATATTTTGAAGAATTAAGCATAAGACCATTGATGGAGGACCATCGTCTAACAGTAGATAGAAAATCATTCATTTGGGAACAGTCTGCTTAAAAGGTATGTAAACTGTCAGGTCATCAGCATATTTCATGAAATTGATTCCAGCTGTGAAGATGGTAAGTCATGCAGAAAGAATGAGACAACACATGGGAAAAGGGTAGCTTCTTTGGGAACTTTAGTGACAATAAGAAATGAGATGGAACACTTCCCTCTGTGAACAGTATGTTGTCTCCTACAAAAGAAATAGGAATGCAGCCAGCTGATTATCCAGTACTCTGTATTAGTCGAGTGTAGCTTGTCCAGCAAAAGGGTCTTGGGACAGAATCAAAAGCTGAAGTATAGTCTAAACAAACTCACCTGACATACTTAATATTTTTATCAAGACTATAAGCAATATTGTAGTATAATAGAGTGGTAGCATCCAAAGTGCTTCTTCTGCTTTCATATGCAAAATGATTATGGTCTCCGGGAGCCTTCAGTGAGGGTTCGAGCACACGTATTATTAGTTTCTCCACTACTTCCAAGAAAGGAGAGGTAACTACAATCGGACGGAATTTTGGACATTCCCCTGGAATCCTTGACTTAGGTACGGCCACTATCTTAATATCTTTATAGGCAGCTGGTATGGTGTTTTCTAAAAACGACCTATTGAACATGTTAACTAATGAATGGCATAAAATACTAACACATTTAGTGAATACAAAGCTGTACATCGTAGTCATAGTTACAACAAAGTATATATACATCCATCAATGACAAGGTCATCAAAAATGGTGAATAAGGTCATAAGGTGGTAACGGCTAGAAGGTCAACTCAAGGTCATCAAAAATTGCTTATAGGATTATTGAAAATGCATGGATATGTCAAATTTTCTCACCCACTTATCTCTACGGGATTGAATAAGAAACTACCAGACTTTATGGTAAGCAAGTTAAGATCTAGTCATTGAAATGATGGACAATATTATCATCTAATGTTATCGATGGGGACATCCATCATCATCATTATCAACATAGGACCAGTCATTACTGTGTAACGGTCCGAGTTGCCACACCTCATATCAGCACATCAAGTAAAAAGGTAGTGAGGTGAGGGATGAAGGTAAGTGAATGCAGTCAAAAGAAATATAAAGTACGAGAAGAAAGGAAATAGGAGTGACAAAATGGTGAGATTCGGTATAGCGTTGTTAAGATGAGGATAATGTGTGTATACATCTGCGCCACTGACTTCGTTTCTGAGCCATATCACCTAGGGTCTCCAACCACTGGTTCCTCTTGTCCCGTGGACCCCAACCACCCAGTCTGCATCGTCCTACATGGCTTAAACCAACAGTGAGAGACTTCATACATTGGTCTGGCCACCTCAGGCCTTTTTTCAGCCTGGACGACGAGGCAATCGGTGACTAGGCATACGTAGTACGTGTCCCAACCAGCTATCTCAGTCGATGAAGGTTCCCAACCTCGTCAACTGACTTACCTCTTCTCCCCAAAACTCTACACCTAACTTCTGCATGGGGACATCCATCCTTAGTCCACTTATATTTTAGTTGCTGTTGTGAAATACAGCAAGTTAAATCGATGCTTTTGTATGCGAAGTTCTACGTTGATTCTGTTTGTCTATCGTACTCAAATACCTTTGATTGGTTGTTTGTTCAAACCCATGTGAAACATATTCAAGAATATTGCCTAACCTGATTAGCAAAAGGAGACAAGAATATATGCATCTTCTACTCAATAGTAAAACTCTTTCTAACAAATCTTTCAAAATTTTTTACAACGTTAGATCAAACTATTCAAAGTGAGCGAGATCAAGATATTTGTGTATAACCTAGAAGTATTAGCTATTCAAAAGTTCAAACCAGTACTATGTATCTATAAAAAGAAAAACTGTTGAGTTCAACTGTTTATTTCTCTTTTTCTTTATTTCATTTACCTTTTTTTTATTTATTTCTTTGTTTAACTCTATTTCAGTGTTGGCTTTGTCATCGTGTACTGAATTTAGATACATGGGTACAAGGAACTAAAAATTATCCAATCAAATATAATAGTAATAATAATCGTAATAATTCAACTTCAAGTAATGGACCATATTCATCTATGGGTTATTATCAATCATTTATTTCTTATGCTAAAGAATTGAATCGATTCTCTGAAGCATGTCTACTTATGACCTATTTAGAAGTTCGTATACAAGCATATAATTATTTTGGTACACTACCAGATGATGTTACTTATTGGTGTCCATTGGATGATGTTGATGTAGATAAATATGTAACAGATTTCTTATCATTTATTGAACAAGTTAAAGATTTATCTATACATACATTTAGTCGACATAAATTTCGGTGAGTTATTTGTTCTTGTTGTAATTTTCACTTCTTAAACATATATGTTTCTTAGATAGACAAATGACAACAATGTAGAACATTTCAAGAAAACTTTAAGCAAAATATTATGCTACAGAGTTCTGAAGAGACTAAATTTTAATGGCTTCCATTGAAAATTACCACTGGAATAAGTTGGCTAACTTTAGGAAGAACAAATCATATGCCCATCAAATTGTAACGCTACACTTATGCATCATCATAGAACAGAGTATAGAATGACAGTCAGCTGAATCTTTACCTCAACTTCATCCACTTTGCAAAACTGTCTACCGAGAACTCATTTGGAAACTGCTTCAACACTACGGAGTACCGTAAATATTTATCACCCTCATTCAACAGCAGCTATATGTTATATGAGAATGCCATATACCAAGTGATTCACAATGGGAAGTCCAGTGACGCCTTCAAAGTGAAGACAAGAGTAAAACAAGGTTGCCGTCTACTATCACCGATGATCTTCCTGATCGTAGTCGACTCCACTGGACTGGACTGGATCATGCAACAGACAACTAACTGGGAGGAGCGAGAAGATGCACACACACTGGCTGTACCAATGAAAAGACCCGAGAATAAGATTTGGATTCCACCAACGATAATGATTTATGTCTAGTGTTGCACAAACTCGAAGATGTACAGGCGAAAACCAAGAAGTTGACAGAAGAGGCGAGACGAGGTGAGGTAGCGAAGGCAGACGGGACTTCCTTCAGATGAAGGTAGAGAAGACAGAGATGACGAAGATACCCAACTAATAACATCAACAACAACAACAAGTGTCACCAATCACCATGAACGGGAGAAATCGAAAGTAAGTTGTCCCGTTCACGTACGTAGGCAAGGCAGCATTGTTTCAACTACAGGCGGTTGCACAGGCATAGATGAGGATGTCAAAGGAAGGATCAGAAAGACAGCAAAACAGGCCTTCCTCCATTAATCTGAAATCAGTGTGGAGATGCACTCCACTCCACTGCACTGCACTCAACACGGAGCGTTAACAAGATCCGGATTTTCAACACTAATGTCAGTCAAGTAAGTGAGTGCTTCTGTGTGATGGTTGAGAGACTTGTCACGTTACGAAAAGCATTTCCAACAAACTACAGACATGTATTAATAGCTACTGCCCACGCTGCCTCACTGGATAGTGTAGATCAGATTAGAAGACGAGAAGGTATAAGCAACAAGAAATTGTGACCTGACAACGAACCAATCAACAACCTATTGGCTAACAAGTGTGTAGAAGAAGAAGAAGAAGGTGGAGATGGATTGGGCATGCACTGAGAAAAGGATTTGGCGAGATCACGCTGCAGGCGAGATGTTGAGTAGAAGCCAATGGGAAAAGGAGGAGTTGAGCGTGGCTTCCGAGGCTGACATGTTGTAGGATATGGTGTATGATGAAGAAATGGTAGCTTGTGTGGAGTCTTGTTGGCATGTTCACAAGACTGTAGAGAAGAGAGTGGAATGGCTATGTGCTACTAAATCCCTATCTTCTAGTAGGAACCCTAGGGACATATGAAAATAAAAAAGAACATGATTCACAAGTTCATCGGTTCAGCTTATCACACTTAACATAAGTACATAAGTAGATAGGAAAAAAAAGACATTTACGAAGATAAAGTAGTGTTGAATGACTGATTAGAAGATAGCGGTTAATGCGAACATTCAGGCCTTAGAAGACGTCATAAAGTGAATAAATCTGTGTCATTTTGAATGATTTTCAACCATGTCACCATCAGTCGTCAACTACTGGCTCTTATTGTTTCAAGGACTCTAAAAATATAGTCTACACCCTCACACACGCCTCAGACCAATATTCAAGTCTTGCTACCTTTGCTACCCCCTTCCAAGTAAGGTGGTAGTTTTCTCTCGATTTCAGCAGAATGGACAGTGGACGAATAACACAGTATTACAGGCTTTAAGATGTTCTTACTGCAGTGCATTTTTAATAGATTAAAATACTGCTATCGGAGAGAAGTACAGCAAAAGAACAGACATTGATGAAATGATGAAAATACTCAACATTACCAAGTAGTTCCTGTTTGAAAACAATTTCTTGTTCTACATCTCAGTGCACATTGTTCTCGAGCTTTTTATCTCCATTCCATATTCTTCTATCGGATTTCTTTCTAATCAGCCTGATCGTCATCACCTTCAGCAGTGCTATATACATACTACTCATATGCATACTTGTAAGTAGTTCTGCCTGCACTGTTTCAGCCTATTTTATGTAATGTTCTTTCCCATTTTCATTTTGTCACAATAGATTTATTTTCGACGGTCTTGGAGATTTTATATCACAACTTTTGCTACGTTTAATTCCACAAATTGAAAGAATGAATTCAAATGGTAACAAGAAAATGTGAGTTATTTTTTCTTACTACTGAAATTAGTAATATTCTGACTACAAGACTGTGACGCGGGTTCGAATTTCAAGTGGGGACATCAGTTCTATCGAGTTTGTAGATACGTCTTGTTGACAAGTACCAACAAGCACAAAAAGTAGATCCAAGGCTTTCTGCCGATTATCTCCAACCAAATAACATACCTTTTTTCTACTTCCATAGAGCGAATTGTCTAATCTTATTTGATTTGTACATGTCGGTTTACTATTTTTTGGCATAATTCCAAACCTTTAAGATTAGGTGTACAGTTTCATGTTGACGTTGGTTTTCGCTTTTTATTGTCATCTCACACTAATTTGACTGAATCAGTTGTATTCAACATTTGACTTTCTAGTCGATGAAATAGGTATCTAGTACAACATGGTAACGTCCGCAAGTCCGAAACTTATATTAGTATGATCGATTATGATTTTCACTACAAAATGCTTGAGTTTTCCAATGTTATCTCTATGAATTTTTGAAGAACAGCTGAAATTAGTGATGGATGGTGACCGGAAATGGAATCAGGGATACATGCTTCGTCCCATTTGGGACTTGTCAGCTGGATATACTTGCCTCTCGGTGGGTGATCTTCTTCCGGATAGGGTTCGAACCCGGAGTCAGTCGCTTTAAACGCCAGACCGTTATCCACCAGACCACTGAGTCATGATAGTCGCCACTTGTACGACGGGTATAGTCTATTATTTGCTGTTATAGTTTGTAGTAACAACATCACCCACTAAGAGGCAGGTACATCCACCTGAAGAGAACGAGATAGGACGAAACGGGCCTCCCAAGTTTCATTGCTAGCCGTTTTCCATCATTAGAACCAAGTTTGAAAAATACCGGACGGTAGTGGTCGATTGATTCGGCGCAATCACATACTGTAGCAGCATTATTTACTGAATTACGTTTCGGACACTATCGTCCACAGTCGTTACATCAAGATAACTTCATAAATTTGAGACATTTTTGCGATATCGGTGGAAAATCTTTTCACACACCTGGAACATGAGCTGAATCATTTCTGTTCTATGTATTACGTGTTGTTTCGATAAACCAAAATTCGGTTATCAATCTCTCGCTCCACCCTGCTATGCTAATTTTAGGGAATTTTCCTTCTCTCCCACCCTATCTTGTGATTGTATGTAATTGCGTACTTAGCTACAGGCAAGATTTTTATAAATCCCATACCTTACTGAGATCTACCAATTTTGATGTAGATAGGTTTCTGTATTAGGATAGCCTAATTGACCCTGGTCGACTACTTCGATCTATGTATTTGACCTCACAATTGTTGCAAAGGATTCGGTAAACTAAGTTATTCTGCCTTATTGGGTCACTCGTATCTTTTAACCTACTAAGCTTATTCTGAAGTGAGTTTTTAGGTTTAAATACCACTCGAATCCCAACCAGCCTTATTGGGAATCCTGTGCAATGCCTCTGATGTGCCTTCTTTGTATGATAATACTGAAGAGGTTTTGAGTTCTCTCTTCACAGTATTGTCACTATTATTATCGACATTATTATTAATACTATTAACACGTGTCATATTTCTCGTACGACTCGTTAGGAACTTATCAATCAATTTGGGAGGGTAATCACTGATGAGTAAGGTGTCTACAATGAATCTGGTTTCTTGTCTTAGATCTCATGTTTTACTAGTAAGATTTTTAGCCCTCCTCCTACTTAGACACTTCACTAAGCCAACTTTAACTGACTGACATACGATGAAATGATCTAAAGTTCATGTAACCATTTGAATGTGAAGGTTTTCTGTAGACACTACTGTCTAAACCTCCATCTTGTTTCCGTTTGATTCTCCAATCAAACATCGTTAATTTCCCTTCACTATTGGATTGCTTTGACTACTGAATTTATATGTGTGGAGAAATTATGTATGTGTTGTGATTTCAGTGATGTAAACGTGTCGCCTATATGTATATATACATAGAAACCATACTTTAGGAGAAGGACTAAGCTTGTTGATGGTTATTTGTGTCCAACTACCACGATAGAGGATATTAGTGATCCCATGATAACTCCTTCTGTTTCTTTGTATATTTTATTCTGAAACCTAAATACTGTAGAGGTAAGGCACAACTGTACTCCTAACATGATATCATCTGTTGGTATCTTAGTTCATAGCGTAAGCTCATGATCATCATTCAGCGCATATCTAACTGCTTCCAGAGTCATGCCATTCAGTACATTGGTATACAAACTGACTATATTAAAACTAACCATTTTTTCATAGTCATCTAAATGTATATCAACTAATCTGTGCTTCAAGTAGTCATAAGAGTTAGTAAGTCTTGAATTAGAACAGTTTCAATTTGAACCTAGTACCATCGTTGTATATTGCGATAAGTTATAAGTAGGAGTGTTTTAAAAGTCTACCATGGGTCTAATAGGATAGTCTGTCTTATGAATTTTTGACAGTAGGATAAAACGTACTTGGATTATTAGTTTTAGGCACTTAATTAAACAACTTCAATGACCATATTGCATAATTGGTCGATAAACTTCAATCGTTTCCGAGTTTACAATTAGTTGCCATTAAGTAAACAATTCTTGTATATAATACACTTCAGCAAAGGTTCACAATGGAAAGCTCGGTGACGCCTTTTAAGTGAAGACAAGAGTAAAACAAGGTTGCCGTCTACTATCACCGATGATCTTCCTGATTTTATTTGACTACATTAAACTGGACTGGATCATGCAACAGACAACTAACTGCGAGGAGTGAGAAGATGGGCACACACTGGCTGTACCGATGAAAAGACCCGAGAATAAGATTTGGATTCCACCAACGATGATGATTTATGTCTAATGTTGCACAAACTCGAAGATGTACAGGCGAAAACCAAGAAGTTGACAGAAGAGGGGAGACGAGGTGAGGCAGCGAAGGCAGATGGGACTTCCTTCAGATGAAGGTAGAGAAGACAGAGGTGACGAAGATACCCAACTAATAACATCAACATCAACAACAACAATAAGTGTCACCAATCACCATGAATGGGAGAAATTGAAAGTAAGTTATCCCGTTCACGTACGTAGGCAAGGCATCATTGTTTCAACTACAGGCGGTTGCACAGGCATAGATTAGGATGTCAAATGGAGGATCAGAAGGACAGCAAGACAAGCCTTCCTCCATTAATCTGAAATCAGTGTGGCGACCCACTCCACTTCACTGCACTGCACTCAACATGGAGCGTGAACAAGATCCGGATTTTCAACACTAATGTCAGTCAAGTAAGTGAGTGCTTCTGTGTGATGGTTGAGAGACTTGTCACGTTACGAAAAGCATTTCCAACAAACTACAGACATGTATTAATAGCTACTGCCCACGCTGCCTCACTGGATAGTGTAGATCAGATTAGAAGGCGAGAAGGCATAAGAAACAAGAAATTCTGACCTGACAACGAACCAATCAACAACCTATTGGCTAACAAATGTGTAGAAGAAGAAGAAGAAGGTGGAGATGGATTGGGCATGCACTGAGAATAGGATTTGGCGAGATCATGCTGCAGGCGAGATGTTGAGTAGAAGCCAATGGGAAAAGGAGGAGTTGAGCGTGGCTTCCGAAGTTGACATGGTGTAGGATATGGTGTATGATGAAGAAATGGTAGCTTGTGTGGAGTCTTGTTGGCATGTTCACAAGACTGTAGAGAAGAGAGTGGAATGGCTATGTGCTACTAAATCCTTATCTTCCAGTCGGAACTCAAGGGACTGACAATAATATTAAAGGTTCATTTGTATCTTGAATACCTCACTGATATAGCATCCGCCTTTGGTATTGAGGGATATAGTTTCTCAAATTTGGAAGTACACTTTACTGATGAGTACTTTGAAGTACGAGAATTATTCCAAGTAGGGTTTTTTGTCACTGGGTATATGACTTCTGAAACTCCTAATAACTTCATATGTAATTGGCCTCACGTTGATGACCTTTGCTTTTCATATTCATACAGTTAGGTGAATAAGGCTTCCGATTCCAGTATTTTTTGACATTGCTTCAAAAAGACCAACCTTCTACAGTTCCAGCGGCAACTTATTCCTAATATGCTAATGTGATATAATGGATTCTTTTCGAATCATTTGAGGTCATTTGGTAGACTATCCAACCGGAAACCGAGTGGTAGCTGGTTCCAATCCCACTGCAGTTGAAATTTTCATTTCACTTTCAATCATCACCTAGTATAAATACTAGTCGATCAAACCACGGATATCTCCCTCAGATAGTCAAAATGATAATCATACTGATTGTTTGTTTTCTACTCGCCTTTTCTTTAGGTGTCGAAATGTTTATCGATTACAACAAGCATTGACAACACTAACTGAAAGTCATGAATCTGATTTAATTCGTGTAAAACAACTATATGAATTATTCTTTTTAACGCCTGAAGTAAGTTTTATTTACGTATTAACGTTAGTTATTCACTTAGTTGAGTCTTTTTAGCTTCATTAATCCTAGGTTCAGTTGTGAGCTATATAATAACCAATTTACTTCAATAACTATTTCTAGCTTAGAGAAAATGTGTATGTTAGGAGTTTTAGTTAGCAAACGTTCAAATGTCACGTTAGACATCACCATTAATGCATCACAACTTCACAAGGAGGTAAAGTAATTGACTTTGTGTATAGATATTTACAACATGCTACCTAACCAATCACAACAAAGCAACCTTTACGTAATATAAACAAATAGAAGAATTCAACCAATCACATAGCTGAAAATCCTTTAGAAAAAATTTGAAGGCAAAATGTCAACCAATCAGCTTCAGCTTATGTTCATACACACTCAAGTTCATATTCATGCATAACCGAATACTTATTTTCTGTGTGAAGATATAGTGCATGAATGATAAGTCGTTTAATTATGATCACCGGTTGGTTTCGCAAACCTGTTCCATCTTATACATTTATCATGCTATTTTCTCTTCTATGACAAAGTGATCCTATGTAAAGGCAATCTTTAGATAGTCTGTACCATTAATAATCTATCAATTTGATGATGATTTCATCAATCTGTTTTTTTCATTTTCTGTTCTTTTCTTTCCTACTAGTCTGTTGTTAATCGTTTAATGGAACAAGGCACAGCATTTGATCATACAGTTTATGCAAATCTCTTAAATTTATATCGTCGTAGTCATTCAACGTATGCTTACTCGAAAATTCAAAGTTGTATAGCTCGATTAGCCACAATTACGCATAGTGGATAAATTTAACTTATGTTTTATAAATATATCCTTTACTCTGTCTGTCAGTGTGTGTGTGTGTATGTATGTTCAATCTAATCTATTCCTTGATTCGACTTAATTTTTTTCCTTTTCTGTTTGTGACATAATCTCTTTTTATCTCAATGCTATTTTAATGTAACAATAATTTGTTCTCAAACATTTTTTGTTGTTGTCTTTCTGCAACAATTCTTATCTGTTTGCATGAATTACTTTTCAATGCTTTTTCTTGGCTACTACTGAGTGAGTAATATAAAATATTTCATCTATTTAAATTGTTTCTAAATGTCTTCATTATTGAATGGATCAGGAAATTGTAAGATTTCTAATAACCAAAGGATTCCTATTTATTATTATTATTAGTCCCTTGGGTTCCTAGTGGAACATAGGGCTTCAGTAGCACGCCTCCAGTGACCTCTGTTCTCTGAGATCTTTTGAACCTGGTCCCACGACAGCCCAGAAGCTCTTATTTCCTGCTCGCACGATTTCCTCCATGTCACCCTCGGACGTCCAACTCGTCGCTTCCCATGGGGATTCCACTCGAGTGCTGGCCTGACGCGTGATGTCCTCCGTCGGCCTTCTCAGTGCATGGCCAATCCATCTCCACTTCCTCCTGCATATTTGTTGCGTGATAGGTTCTTGGTTGCTTCGTTCCCAGAGTTCCTTGTTGCTTATTTTTTCTGGCCATCTGATCTTCAGCAGCGAGCGTAAGCAGTTGTTGATGAATTTCTGTAGTTTATTGGAAACCCCTTTCGTGACGCGCCAAGTCTCTGAGCCATACAAGAGCACTGACTTGACGTTGGTGTTGAAAATCCGTATCTTGTTCCGCATGCTGAGTGGAGTGCAGAAGATCTCCACACTGGTTTCAGGCTAATGAACGCCTGTCTTGCTTTTCCGATTCTGACTTTGACATCCTCGTCCGTCCCGCCTGTAGTTGAAACAGTGCTTCCTAGATAAGTGAAGGAGGTTACTTCCTTTAAGTTTCTCCCGTTGACGGTGATTGGAGTTTGTTGTTGTTGTTGTTGGTGGGGTATCTTCATCACCTCTGTCTTCTCTATATTCACTTGAAGTCCCGTCTTAGCTGCCTCTTCTATCAACTTGTTAGTTTTGCCTGTAGATCTTCAAGTTTATGTGACATTAGGCATAAGTCATCGGCGAAATCCAGATCTTCTAGGTTCTTTTCCGTCGTCCAGTTTATCCCCCTCTTCTCGCTGCCTACTGTTTGCTGCATGATCCAGTCCACCACAACACAATCAGGAATAAAATGGGGGATAGTAGGCAACCTTGTTTCACTCCTGTCCCCTGTCTTCACTTCAAAGGCATCACTGAGCTTCCCATTGTGAATAACTTGGCATGTGGCATCTTCATATAGTTGTTGAATGAGGCAGATAAAGGTTTGCGGTACTCCGTAGTATTGAAGCAGTTTCCAAATTACTTCTCGGTCGACGTAATCGCCTGGTTAACTAGTTCACTAGTTACTAGCCGGTCCTAAGCCAGGGTAAAGAGGGAAGGTTTGGCATAGGGCTAGCAACCCTACCCCGTAAAACAAATCTAACCGCTAAACAAACTTCAAAGCACAAACAAAATATAAAGGATTCCTATAATATTTATAAAAAGTAACATTTTAAACAATGAAGAATATTCTTTTCAATGAAGTTCTCTTCAAGTTCTACAATTATAAAATGAACTTATACAGTATATAAAAATAAACCATGTCAAGGGGGAAGGTACATTTTCAAAATGGAGTAGGGTTGAGGGGATTGTAAGGAGAAGTAACGCTTGTAAAATGTTCTTTCTGAATACAAAGTTCAAGTATGATCAATCTTATTGTGATAGCCTACACTATGTTGAACAGGCGTTGACGAGCTACATGTGGTGTCGTTTTTCGAACATGATGAATGACATCGAAAACTTTATTAGCATCTATGTGATGCCCTGTGTCGACTAGATGCACCAAGACTGAAATTTTCACCACTTTCACTTCACTCTTTCCTCTCGTATCCGGAAACACACCTACCTAATCTTACGCCTTGTGTAACTAGTTCCATATGAAGAGTTAAACTGATATATGCAAGATGAAGAGCTAAGATTAGGTAGGTTAATCCTTTAGTCTTAGATTGAGTATTGGCCGATTACTGAATGATATACAAGGCTAACTTGCATAAAACATCTTGTTAACTACTCTAGCTAAGTGTTATGATAGAATGTCACTTGTAACATCTTCCTTGAATTGTAAGCGCAGTAACAAAGACTTCTTTCACACTATTATCAGTTCTCGTTTAGGATCAATATAGTTGATGTTAGTGTTGATGAAATTGTGTGGTATAACTAACTGCTGATCTAATCTACTTGATCCAATTCAACTAGATCATTTGTAAAGTTGCTCTTGACTTGTCATAAACTTTAGATATCCTATTGATTCATTTTGTTGTGAATGCTTAGTAGTAAACTCTTACTTGATAGTCACTAAGTTTATGGATATATACATATATATATATATATATATATATATATATATATATATATATATATATATATATATATATTTCAAGTTGTTATTCATCGAAGACTGACATCAGTTGGAGGAACAAAGGAAAGCTGGGAGCACTGGACAGCTGTTTCGTCCCAGCTTTCCTTTGTTCCTCCAACTGATGTCAGTCTTCGATGAATAACAACTTGAAATATTTCCAAATCTCCACAACCCCCTCAAAAGTTTAATTGAACTGGTGCTCGTTGGTGACTAGCTTCGAGAAGTATTCCCGAAGTTCCAATGACAAGTCGTGACCGGTGGAGTCAAAGCCTGATGGCCTTGAGGACAAATACTCAACGATGACATTGGGTGGCGGTTCGCGCTATATCGTGAGCTAACAGAAGTTGGAAATATGGAGCATTGGATTCTGACCCAGTGGCTAGCTCAATGGTAACGCGCTGGTCGCGGAACCTGAAGGTCGCGGGTTCGATCCCTGCTGGTGGGGTCGAGAGTGCGCACTGCTGAGGAGTCCCATACTAGTGGGACGAAACAGCTGTCCAGTGCTCCCAGGTTTCCTTTGTTCCTCCAACTGATGTCAGTCTACGATGAATAACAACTTGAAATAATTTCCAAATCTCCACAACCCCCTCAAATATATATATATATATATATATATAGAGAGAGAGAGAGAGAGAGAGAGAGAGAGAGAGAGGGATTTGTAAAGTCAGATGGTGTATCTGAAAGTAGGAATATTCATTCACTTCGTAACTTTCAACTAGCAGATGACTAAATTGAAAACCTCCTCCTTTTCAAGTGACCGAACGAATAATGAGAAATACCTGAACGATGCTCACACAATGAATCATTTGGATTGGACTGCCATGTGGGTGTAAAGAACATCGTATATATACAGTTTTAGATGTAATATTTCCATCAGTGAAATCTGTGATGCACTGAGATTATGTCTGACCTCAACCTATTTTACTTTTCGAGGGGACCTTTATCGTCAAACCAGTGTGGTAGCAATTGGTTCACCTGTTTCACCCATTGTAGCTAATCTATACATGCACAAAGTAGAATCAGACCTACTTAACCAACATAATTTAAAACCAAGAGTATAGTGGAGGTATGTTGATGACACCTTCATCATAACCAAAAAGCAAGGATTAGAAAGTTTTTTTGAATACCTAAACAACCGTTTCAATTCTGTAAAATTCACATGTGAACTAGAAACAGAATTCAAAACGTTAGCTTTCCTAGACTGCAAGGCGATATGAAACAGTTATGGGACACTCGACATTGATGTCTATCGAAAAGATACACATTCTAACAAGTACCTTGACTTCGATTCGGCTCATCCATTGAAAACTGAATTAAACGTTGCCAAAAAATCTGTTGACGAGATCGCAAAGGATACCAAATAAAGTGGAATCTCAGCAAGCAGATAGGTGACTTGTTCGGGAAGTCTTAAGACTAAATAACTATCCAGACAAACTATTAAAGAGGATCGGAAAAAGTTTATCAAATAAAAATATGAAAAAGTCAATTCATAAAGATTGGATAAGTACTATAGTACTTCCTTATCGAACATCCACTTCAGAGGAAATAAGCCGTATCCTTAACCGTTAGAACATCAGAGAATTCTTTAAGGTAACGAATACATTACACTCACACCTGTGTAAATTAAAAGGTCCGATTCCTCATTTGGAACAACAAAACTGTGTTTATAAGGTAGACTGCAGTGAATGCGATGCCACCTATATTGGAGAGACATCACGTCAAGTACTAACACGTCTAGCCGAACATGGTAGAAGTTCCAAAAAACCACCAAAAAATTCCTATGATCTAGAAAAACTTGAAAAAGCTCTGCTATCGTAGCTCATGCCCTATATTCAGGTTATAAAATATCATTCGAACAGACAAAAGTTCTGCAAAAGGGTTTCCTCTCTCACAAAAAGCAGACCATTGTAGAAGCTTTGCACATCTGCTCATATCCTTCTTCGGTCAACAGAAAGATGGGTTAGACATCCCATTAATATGGCAAACAATGACTCGCCTAGGCAGTTATAAGTAATATCTGAAGAGAAGGTAGATTGTCTAGTCCTATTACATACACCTTATTGATCTACTATTTTCATCAATTTTACACTACTCTCTGAGTCATATACATTCGATGAACCATAACATAATCCATTTTCAAGTTGTTATTCATCGAAGACTGACATCAGTTGGAGGAACAAAGGAAACCTGGGGGCACTGGACAGCTGTTTCGTCCCACTAGTATGGGACTCCTCAGCAGTGCGCACCCACGACCCCACCAGCAGGGATCGAACCCGCGACCTTCAGGTTCCGCGGCCAGCTTCGAGAAGTATTCCCGAAGTTCCAATGACAAGTCGTGACCGGTGGAGTCAAAGCCTGATGGCCGTGAGGACAGATACTCAACGATGACATTGGGTGGCGGTTCGCGCTATATCGTGAGCTAACAGAAGTTGGAAATATGGAGCATTGGATTCTG